TCATAGGTCATTACTATTGTTGTAACATTAAAGCAATTTTTCACAAATTGATTTTTTAAAATGAAAATTAATAAAAGAAGTTTAGAGTGTTCTTGACTTTCGATGGAAGATACCTTCCGAGACCCCCCTCGAAATTAAGATTTCCGAGGTAATTTCATACAGTACACTATTTTTGGATGCGACTAGTACCACAAGACATCCCCTAACACTTTAATCTAAATAAAAATTTCCAATTCTTTTAATTAGGCTGCGACGTCGCATGTCAGTGTTGAGGTCTACTGTAACGATTGGTCTTGATTGAACCAGTTAATGTGCTATACGCTAAACTGTTATTTTGGCCAATCAGCATTCAGAAAGTTTGGCGATGAGGTATTCATTTTTTTTTCCCAGTAGGCCACTGTACATACATCGAGTGGCCGTGGGAAAACCCAAGTTAACAAAAAAAAATTGGGAGTCATTTTTTCATTATTTACTTTGAGAACCCGTGGTGAAGCCATTCCTCATCAGATGTAGGATCTGCTTACGTCAAGAAACGACTGTAGCTCCTATCTCACACCTCTGTTCTTAAAGAATGTCAATTAGGCTTCGGCATTCGGACCGCGCATCGGGAGAAAAGATACATAATATCATTAGTAGTGAAAAGCGACAAGGCCCCCCGCCCCGCCTGTTAGTTTTGCGAGATTTTTTCGGCGAATTCGTCCGTTGGCATGCTTATAATTTATATCCTCAGAAAGCTAGTGAAGATCCTACTTTCGTATTATTTTTTACCTTGTCATGTTACCTTGCCTCGCCGTAGCGAGGCCGGAGGTCGAACCCCACGAAGCAGTCTCTGGCAGTCTTACACTATATCCCCGCCATCACTGCGTACGACGCCCGAGTGAAACGTAGCCTTTCTTTCTTTCTTTCTATGATCCCTTTTCTCTGTTCATTTTCTTCAAAAGGATTGGAGATTATGATTCCTTTTCTCTGTTCATTTTCTTCAAAAGGACTAATGTTTATGATTCCTTTTCTCTGTTCCTTTTCTTTATGAACGTTTCGATTATAGATCCAAGATAGGTCGGCAAAAGATTACTTACACCGGATGTTGACATTATTTTGGTTCATCTCTTAGTCTTCTTGTAGAACATCATACCATATTCACACGCCTTATTTAGGCAAACAGGATCTAGTGCCTTAGATGTAAATGATCTCAGGATAACTTGCTTTGAAGGAATATTTGATATGAAGAAAGTAGCATTTTGGTTATTGATAGTCCGCAGTTCATTGATTCTGATATTCTTGTGGTAAATATCGAAACCTTGCTGGTTACCTGTATTGCTTACCAAAAAGCGGACCCATCTTGACCACCTTTGAGTTTGTGTGAAACACAAACTCTCTTAGTAGGTCTAATCTTGATTTTTTTTCCTCCCCATTTATTTAGCAAAGTTAAGAATGTAAAGGACGAAACAGAAATGTTCTGTTTTATTTGGGTTTCATAAAACAGTGTTTAGGTCAATGTTTGTGTTTGTGGTTATGTTTGTAACGCTGTCGATGTTTGATGAGGGCTAGCATGAAAACGCACGTTTTCTTACAGAAATGTTATTTTATCTTATCTTACAGATTACAGACGTTACTTCAAAAAAAAAAAAAGATAATTTCGTCATACGTATTCCATGTGTCAATCTAGTCATGCATGTTAATCAATAACTTAAATTCTGATAAGTCGTTGGTTTTTCTCGCGTGATTCAGGCAACCCATTCCATTCTCTAATAGCACTAGTGAAGAAGGAGCGTTTGTACGTATTTGTTCTAGCTTATGGAATAAGAAATGTGCCTCTATCTTTGTGTCTGTCTGACTATTACATTAGGTTTTGTTTTTACTTTTTATTCTTCTGTCCTGAATGTTTGCCATTTGGAATACCATAAATTCGAGAGACTTGGAGATGGAAGCTTTCCAAAAAAATTGTTTGTGACAATCGCTGAGAATCTTCACTACTATTTATATGTAACTGTCTAAACTAAACACGATTTCAAACGAAGAATTAAAAGAAAAAATTCTGTAGGTTAAAGAGGTAATCAAGCGCAGAATGTAAAATGGTCTGGAAATATAATCGGAATCAGGGCAGATGTTGTTGATCAAGACTATTCTCAGATGGGTACCTTATTTTATAGATTATAGACGTTACGTCAAAAGGAAGATAATTACGTCCTATGTATTTCATGTGTCAATCTAGGCACGCATGTTAATAAGTGATTTAAACTCTGCTAAGTCGTTGGTCTTCCTAATATAGACACACAAGATAAGAGAGAAAGAGAGGGAGAGATATCGAAAGAGAGAGAGAGAGAGAAAGAGAGAGAAATATATATATATATATATATATATAACAATTACTTTTTATTTTAATGCTTATTTTTGAATGAAATTGCATCAATAATTTTTGAATCATTCATATAATTAATTTTTGGTAGATTACAATAACAGAAATAAACAATATAATAGTAATAGGCCCACATCACCTCAGAGTATCAAGAGTTTTCAATATCATTTAATTGGCTGAAGTTGTTCTCTGATTTAGGCAGAGTTAGTGGTTGATCTCGTGTAGGTTGTCTACCCCTATTCGCCTCTGGTGATAACTATTTATATTATAACTATCGGCGCACGCCTTACACAGATAATGTATCAATCTAGTTACGCATGTTAGTCAATGGTTTAAACTTTGCCAAGTCATTGGTTTTCCTGGCGGACTAAGGCAATCTTTTTATGTTCTAGAAAAGTTAGCCTATTTGTACAAAGTTGTCCTAGCATATGTGTTTATGGGTGTGGCTTTATCTTTGTGTCTGAGTACTTTATTAGATTTTGTTTTTGTATTTAAAATTATGGTTCAGTGTCTTATATATAATTGCTACTTTACTTTTAAGTCTTCTATCCTGAAGGCTTTCTAAATTTAGTGATTTTACTAATGGTGTCACTCTAATCAAATGAGACTATTCGTTTGTTATGATTCTCACTGCTTGTTGTTACCGGTCGTTGTCTTGTAGCACCAAACTGCTGGTAGACAATTAAACCGTTGTAGGCGTAATGTAACTTAACTAATAAAACTTCAAATAACGTTTTTTTTGTGTGTTTGTGAACAAACTAAATAACACTTTATTTATGAGATAATCAAAATCATGTTGAAATGAGATTATTATTATAGCTTTTATATAGCGCTACTTTTATGCTTATAGCATGCTCCGAGCGCTTTTGGTCCAATCTCATTGGTGGACCAGTGGGGGGGGGGGGGGGGGGGGGAGGGGAAGTGGGTATCTATGAGTTGGTTTTCCTTACTGCCTTTAAATAACTGTAGTAGACTTTAGTAGCCTAATAATATTCTCTAACAAAAATGTGGGGTCGTCTGTCTCAGCTAAGACCAAGTGACGACACAACCAATCGCTAATCTCTTCCCACCGTCACCATAGAAATACACACACACTGCATAACACTTGCTCTATCTAGTTGTTTGTAAGACTGAGTAGTAAAGACGTACTTTGTTGGAGCTTCGTAGACTTAGCGACATTGGACTGTTGCCAACTTTACTGGATCAAATCTTCAATTTATCTATCTACGCAGTTTTTAGCAATTCATTATCTATATCTATCTTATCTTATATAATACAGACGTTACTTCAAAAAAGAAGATGATTACGTCCTACGCGTCATGCATTTAGTCATGCATATTAACCAATGACTTAAATTCTGCCAAGTCACTGGTTTTTCTGGCTAGCTCAGGCAACCCATTCCATGCTCTAATAGCACTAGGGAAGAAGGAGTATTTGTACAAATTTGTCCTAGCATATGGGACGAGGAATGTGCCTTTATTTTTGTGTCTTTCAGAGTATTTTATTAAATTTTGTTTTTGTATTTGAAGATTATGGTTCAGTGTTTTATGTATAATTGCTACTTTACTTTTGAGTCTTCTGTCCTGAAGGCTTTCTAAATTTAGTGATTTTACTAATGGTGTTACACTAGTCAAATGTGAATATTCGTTTGTTATGAATCTCACTGCTCTATTTTGTGTTTGTTCCAGTTTCTTAATGTTTTCTTGAGTTGAGGGGTCCCACACGGTGGATGCATATTCTATTATTGGCCTAACCAAGGTTAAATAACATTTTAGTTTTATGTTCTTATTTGATTTATAGAAATTTCTTTTAATAAACCCTAATGCTTTGTTGGATTTTTTTATAGTTTCATCAATATGTGGGTTCCATGACAGTTTTTCATTTATTATAACACCTAGGTATTTTGAGTTTTTAGTCTGTGTTACTGGTTTGCCATGAATAAGATAAGTGGAATTAATTTGTTTTAGTTTTTTTGTTACTCTTAACAACTGACATTTTTCTGGGTGGAAAGACATGCTCCAATTTGATTCCCATTTCTGTAATTCATCTAATTCTCTTTGTAAAATATCTGTGTCTTGTTTTGTTTTTATTGTTCTATATATTATGCAATCGTCTGCAAATAATCTGACTCATTGTATTCTTAGCTTACTGTGTATGTGTTTGAGATTTTCATACATGGCGATAAACCCAAAAACTAGCAAGCTTTCTGGTGTATCCAGTGTATAGAATATAAAGATAGTGTTGATAATCTATGTTTTTTTAAGTTACATAATTTATTTGCACATTATAGCAATGCAGAATCAATTTTTTTAAAGCCTTTCCGTTTGAGATTTTGATTTAGTTGGCAATTTTGAAATTCAATTCAGCATCCTAAAAACTATTCAGTTTATCGTGAAAATGGTCAATGAGTTATTTTTCCGAATTCGTATATATCCATTGCACATGTGCATGCGTAATAATCAAATCAAGCTAGCAAGACATCTCATTCCCACTACCAACACCTGCAGAGAACACATCTATATGTGGCTGCTTAATGCATATTTCTGTTACTCTATTTAAGTTTATAAAATTTATGTTCATGTAAAATATACAGTACAGAACGTCTTAGACCGCGATATGAAAATATAACAGGAACAAAGGCATGATTTTTGTTTGGTTAGTTTCTTTATTGAAACAAATGTATATAATATTTAGATTCTTTTAAGTATCGAAATAAACTTGCAATATAAAATTTTTAATGTTTGGTCCACTTGACAACATGATTGGAAACGATACAATATATGGTTACCTTAGTAACCATTTGTTATGATTTTGTATAAACACATAATATAAGGTAAGTTTGTAGCTGACTATACATATGTATGTATGTATGTATATATATACATATATATACATATATATATTTATATTTATAAATATATATATATATATATATATATATATATATATATATATATATATATATATATATGTACAGTAAAAAGAATATAAATGATTCCCTTTATAGATACACAAGTATACAATTATATTAACAATTGCAACTAGTGTAATAGTATATATCAGATAATACTTTAAGACAATAAAAATACAATGTAATCAATACCTTCAACCTTTAGGCATAAAAAAGAAAAACTATTTTCTGACTCAATGTACAAAAATAAAGTCATCTTATACATAAACAGTCTTTATGTGTACACACGAATACAAATATATACAATAATTTATTTACAGTTCTTTTGAGCAAAAAATAATTGTGCTAGCACTGGGCATGAACGATATAACAAGTATCAATATTTAGTCTGAGGTATGAATTATGAGGTGGTTCCTATTTTTTTTCTTTGAACATCATTTAAAGTCGGCAACACATTTATGTCATTCGCATTACCGAAGAGCACCTTGCCAACTGAAGGCATTGTCGTGAAGGCTTAGGGCATCTGTTATGAACATTTAAAAAAACATAAAACATTGATATGCGTGCATTTAAAACATGTTCATGTTTGTCTCATTCAGACACACAATTACACTAGGCGACTCACTGGTGTAGCTAGGGTGGGGGGTAGCGGGAGGGTCCAAATTAAATTATCCTCCCAGGCTTCCCACTTGATTGGGGCCCCCAAATGAGTGTCTGAAATTTGTTTTTACATTAAATATTACACCATTATCTCATGATGCTGAATTTCAAAATATAGGGGCCTCTAAAGAGGTCAAGCCCCACGGGCCCCAATATCCCTAGCTATGCACTTGAGCGACATAGAATTAATAAGTGGCCTTTGCAAAATTTCTTTTGGTTTCCTTTCAGTGTTTGAAACAAAAAAAGTTTTTTAAAAAGACAAAAATAGCAAACTTAGTAGTGGGATTGTAAATTGCATTTTTCTTGATCATAGCAAAATTGATATGAACATGGGTTTGTTATAATCAAAGAAAATTTTTTATTATATCAAATTTACTGTTCGGCAAAGCTTTAGGTTAAACAAGCTATAACTTAGAAGAGGAAATTTTAATTACCTTTAATTGTTCAAAGTCTGCAGCAAAAAAAACATTGAAATAATACTTTGAAAAAAAAAAAGAAGTTGACAATTGGGCTGTAAGTGGAAAAAACACATATTTGACAACAAACTAGCAACAAAAAAAATCTCTTTGCTGCCAGAGTAAATGCTGCCAACTAAGAAATCATTGACATTGGAATAAAAAAACAACTATGGACTCATTATAAGTAAAATATTGAGCTCATCAGAGAAATCAGAAATAGTCTCAAAATACTTATCTAATAATCTTTTCAAATGGATAGCTGTGTTGGTCATTTGTTAGTTTTTCATAACATTTAGTTGTATAAATACTCTAAAGACATTGATTAATTCTAAATGTAGATCCAAGTACTAGCTACAGTCACTGTTAAAACCTTTTGTTCTTATTTAGCATGGCTAAAATACAAATGCTTTTGGAATTTTTTTTCTAGCTAATAGAATTATAAAAAGATTAGTAAATAGCACTAGTTTAACTTAACCAAATACATTTTGAGTACCTCTGCACCATATTGTAAACAATTTGTTTAAAAACGAACAGAGAAATATTGAAATTAAAAAAAATTAACAAAGACACATAATTTTACTTTTATTTTACCTTATATTTTACAGAAGTTACCTCAAAAAAGAAGATAATTACGTCCTACGCTACATTTTAGATCAAAATCAGTTTAAAACATGGACTTATACAATTGTATACAATAATCTTGAAACACACTGAAATCAATGTTAAATACATTAATTATTTATATATTAATTATTTAAATGGTGTTTATAATATCTGTGGCAGGACTCTTATTGTGACTACACTGCTCGTGTGAACCCCTGGTCATAACTTTTCTGAGGATTTAGCCAGCTGGTAGAAGTGACTATTTTCCTGGTTGAGTAGTGTCTGGGGGTCATCAAACTCTACAATCTGGCCAGCCTCTATGACCATCACTCTGAGGAGACAGGAGGATTAAATAAGACAATAGCATGTGACAGACACAAGTTTCATACATGACAGAAAAACTATAAATAGCTTTTTAGCTATAAATAGCTTTTTTTGTATATCTGGTGTGCATAGTAGAGGAAGTGTTGATATGTGCTTCTTCTTCCTCGTTCTCATTTTGCATGCCCGAGAGTTCAGATCAGTAATCCTAAGTCTAAGATAAACTGCGCAGTTGTTTCCAGATGAGGCAGTTTTCATATAGTTTTTGCTCTAACGGAAGGCTTTGGGGCCAGAGTCTTGTTCGGGCTTCTTGATATAGTATGCAGCTTTGAAGGACGGTCAGCATTCTCTGGTGATGCTCCACAAGAGCAGGTTTCGCTTGTCCTGACTTGATAAGCTATGTTTTATTAAATTTATCTGATAATTTTTTGAGCAACTTTTTCTCAAAATCAAACTTTCTGAACCCTTTGAAGCGCAAAATAATTTGAATGAATTCAATACGGGGGGAAGCTAGAGACTTTCATTCTATGACTTAGAAGTTTTTTAAAAACTAAATAGTGATAAAAAGGAGACTTGATATGAAGATCAGCTTCCACTCATTGATGGAGATATTGTAAGAACATATAGCTCAATTCTTCTTTATTTACTTGACAATAGTGAAACTCAATTTAGCATCCTTGACATTCTTTAGTTTATCATAAACATCTCTAATAGGCAATGGCAGCACATTTGGCAATAGCGTTGCACTATAGTTTGTGGACAGCAGTATCTTACACTGAAAACCGACAATGACTGACATTATAAACTGATAATAACAAGCAGAAAATAGAGTTCTCCTTTCAGACTCTATGTAAAGATCATCTGTTTCTGTGGCCATGGTGTCATGTGGCCATCATAATGACCAACTGCCTTTTCTATTCCTCAACTATTGTCAGGTATCCTTTATAGCAAAATGGACTCAGAGGCGCCCAAAGATCCCGAAATTTAAAATCCCAGTCTTCACCAGGATTCAAACCCAGTACCCGCGGTTCTGAGGCCAAGCACTTTAATGCTCAGCCACTGCGCCTCCCAGATACAGAAAATAGCAACAGGTAATTGCTATGAGAAATAGTAACAACAAATAAGAATGAGAAATTGCAACAGAAAATAGCAGGACACAATAATAATAAGTTTAGAAAACCCAGCCAAGACCAAGTAAAAAAAAAAAAAGAATGCTTGGGCCACTAGGTCTTCATAAGCTACAAACAAACAAAAAGATAAGCAATCAAATATCTTTTTTGTTTGCCAGTTGATGATCTGATGGCCTGAATGTCCTTTGTTTTTACCTGGTTCAACAAGGTTTCCTATGTGTATGTTTATTGTATTTTCTATAAGTATTTATCCCTGCAGCAGTAAATGCTTTTATCGATCTAGATAATATAAGGTGTATTGATATATCATGCAATGAACTATACATGTTTTTTAAGCTTTTATCTACAGTGAGGAACAAAGTCTAGACATATAGCCGTACCTGTCACAGTCTAGTATAGTGTTGATACGATGAGCTATGATGATTGTTGTACTATGTTTAAAGGCTTTTTGCACTGTCTTTAAGACCAGTTCATCTGTCTCCACGTCTACCGAGGATGTTGGCTCGTCCATTATCAAAATTCTGCTGCGCCTTAACAGAGCCCTTGCCAGACAAATCAGTTGCCTTTGTCCAGCACTATATAAGAGAAATACAAATGAAGAAAAGTAATTATACAATATGTGGCTTGATTTATTGTTAAACAAATTCATTGATGAATAATGTACTTTATATCTCTGGTATGACCAGTCGACTATGTTTAAATAAATTATAAATTATGGCTTTTATATAGCGCTTCTTTCATGCTTATAGCATGCTCAGAGCGCTATAATCCAATCTCATTTGTGGACCAGTGGGGGGGGGGGGGGGGGATCTGGGAGAAGGTTTTCCCTGCACAACTCTGCTCGAGTCGGGTGTCGAACTTTGAGCCCCCTTCACAGGTAGCCAAGCCAAGCCAAGTTCAAGAGTACTTGGCCTCTTATATACTATGTTTAAAGGCTTTTTGCACTGTCTTTAAGACCAGTTCATTCGTCTCCACGTCTACCGAGGATGTTGGCTCGTCCATTATCAAAATTCTGCTGCGCCTTAACAGAGCCCTTGCCAGACAAATCAGTTGCCTTTGTCCAGCATTATATAAGAGAAATACAAATGAAGAATAGTAATTATACAATATGTGACTTGATTTATTGTTAAACAAATTCATTGATGAATAATGTACTTTATATCTCTGGTATGACCAGTCGACTATGTTTAAATAAATTATAAATTATTGCTTTTATATAGCGCTTCTTTCATGCTTATAGCATGCTCAGAGCGCTATAATCCAATCTCATTTGTGGACCAGTGGGGGGGGGGGGGGGATCTGGGAGAAGGTTTTCCCTGCACAACTCTGCTCGAGTCGGGTGTCAAACTTTGAGCCCCCTTCATAGGTAGCCAAGCCAAGCCAAGTTCAAGAGTACTTGGCCTCTTGACCACGCTTCCCACCGTTTACTATGGTCATAAAGTGGTCAGTAGCCTATTGGTAGTAAAGTAAATTAAACAAAAGTGTTTTTCTCCTTACTTACCTAAAGTTGTTGCCATTTTCTCCCACCTCTGACTCCAGTCCCTGAGGCATCACTGAGACAGCATCCTTTAAGTGTGACATGGTCAGTGCAGACCAGATCTCTTGGTCAAGGTATTCATTGTTAGGATCAACATTCATCCTTAGTGTGCCAGACAGCAGAACAGGATCCTGTTCAAACACACACAAGAATCATCTAGTGAACATTGATACTGTTACTGATTCTTGACATATAAAACAATAAGAATAGCTTGATTAGTAAACCAAAAGTGGACACAATTATGCGTGGTGGCTGAGTGGTAAAGCACATGACCTCTAAACTGGGA